ACATTTTTAATATTTTATTAATTACAGCAATGTGTTATTTTACACGCAAAAAAGTATTGGATGATTCAAATGTAATAGTTCAATCTTCTAGTATTATTTCTTAATTGTTGTTAATGAACTATAAAAGTGTTAAAGTCTTGGTTTGTTGTACTTTGCTGTACCAGTGTGCTTAAAATTTTATGTAATGTTTCATTTTTAATGTTTTATAAACTCTTTTGTTAATTAAAAAAGTTTATCTTAAAATGTTTAAGCTTACATTACTATCAGTGAGCAAGAGTACCCATAGGATCCCATGCAGGTAAAATAATAGGTTCTTGTTTGAATACATCCAAAACATCTGCAGGTACTAACTTTTTATCAATAACTGCTTCAAAAACAAATTCAGAAAACCATTCAGCTGTTAATACTAAATACCCTTTTTGTCCATGTTCATCTCCCCAAGAATTCTCTACTCGAAACTGTTTAATTTTACCTTCATTCTGAAAAAAAGAGAATTACAATATAATTTATATACTTAGACTTCTTCAATAATGCTAAAAAAATGTGTATATTATTCATATTATTAAGTTTATTAAAAAATTAGTAATATATTTGTGTAAAATTTTGCATTTAATCTCATTAACTTACATCAATTGAAACAGCTGTGAGTGCCATTGCATGAACCATCATAGAATCTCCATAAAGTAATCTATCTGCTTTTGTAAGATTAACTTGGATATCAGTTCCAAACATTAATTCAAAGTCATATGCTCTCATATCCTGTATACCTTGTTTAACTATTAATCGTTTATTTACATCACATCCAAACCATACAGGTTCATTTTGCTTTATACTTTCTGCACATAATTTCATTAATAATTCAGGTGGTTGATTATTATACAGTGTAGGTCTCCCACCCGTAACATTTCCTAAACAGTCTATGGTATAAAGCTTTCCATATGGATTAGATGGCCTTGGATCTGTTACTAAGCATATTTTATCATCTACGTTATAATAAGGTTTTACATATTTTTCATAAAATTCTACTGGTGTAATAGGTCCAATACAATTATAATTTTTTGATTTATCATAATATTCCCAAATGATCGTTTTTGAAGGTATGCCTAAACATATACCAATTATTCGATAGATCACAATCATTTGTTCTAGAATCTGAGCTTCCAAGTCTTCGTCAGTTGCCCCATTAGATACTAACTCTCTTAAAACTTTGGAAAATTCTCTCAGTTTACTTTTCAGAATAGTATTCATACGTGAACTAGATTCACAACTATAGGATTCTGGAAAACAGACTTTAGGAACAAGACCATGTCTATTTATAAGATTAACAATCATATCCCATTGTCCTCCATCACAAATAGGATCATGCAATAAGAATGATACTAAACGACCTTCTACTGGCTCATTTCGTTTAGCAGTCTTAACAATATTATGTAAAAAATAATTGCACCGCTCCACCTATACAATAAGTAATGCATTTACAGTCACAAGGTACATATAATTTTAAGATGAAACTTTGATGTTATATAATATTAACCTTGTCCCAAAAAAACAAATAAGCTTGACTAAACTCAAATTCATCCAAATTGTATTGCTTCATAAAGGTGATTCTTATAACATTTAAAGTTGAAAATATCCAACATCGCCCTGAACTTTTTTGATTTGTTATAGGTTTTCCTTCTGTTACAATCTTATGAGAAAATATATGCCGTGACTCTTGCAGAACTTTTCGTGAAACACAGGCTTCCAAGGGATTGGTCCTGGTACATACATTTTGTGCCAAGGTATTACGATTATCTTCATAAAATTTTGCACGCAATTGATTTAAAATCTCTGTTGTCAAAGCACCTGCTGTTTACATAAAAAATATGTAATTTAAATTTAAAAAAATGTAATATTCAACATTTTTTTTAAATATCTTTTTACATTTTTTA